AAATAAAAAAAAAAAAAAGAGAAAGAAATAAAGAAGAGTTGTGAAGTTGTTGACCTGTCTAGCAACAGAGATTTGAGCATCCATGGAAGGAGGGTCATCAGCTGAGGCCATCAAAGGCAACGAAGGATCAACCAAAGTCTGAACTAATGCCTTAATCACATCCTTTGTGGGACCCACCTCCCCTTCAACGGCAGCCATTCCTAATTCAGCTTGCGAACCCGTAACCATTGTGAGACTTCACTAACCGACCGAAAAAAAGAAAAAACAAGGTAAGATTGAATTCTTTTAGTAAGCAAATTATTCATACAGGAAATAAAATCAAACAACGTGACCAAGAATTTAAAAACAAATCAAGCAAAGAACAGAATCAAGAAACAGGGTAAAAAAACAAACAAAAGAGCCAAATAATAGAACAAGTGGAATAACATAAAAAAAGAAGAAGAACGATACATAAAAAAGTGGTACAGGCAGAAATCAAGATCAGGAATTGAACACGCAGACAACCGTATGCAGTGAGAAGAAACAAGAAAAATAAAATTAATTATGTACTACAAGTTAACAAGACTTAACAGAGAATGGATATACCAAACCAAAACAAGCCACAATTTTTATTTTATTATTATTATTTTTTTTTTTTTGCNTGATCGAAAAGAGAGAGACAGAGGGAGAGAGAGTTAAGATGAAAAAAGAAAATGGAGCATTGAGAAGATGAAGAGTCCCAAAAGCAGGTGAATCCAAAAGACGCAATTGATTTTGTCATGACAGTGTGCTTTGTGTGCTAATTTTCTTGAAAAGAGCGCGCACAGGTGTGTGTAGTGTAGACTGCATAATTCATAATTGTTACTGTAGTAATTTCTTTTGGTTTTACTTTGAAAATAACTTGTGTTCACACCAAGATGGCTATTTCCAATGCAGCAAGAAATCAGAAAGATACAAAATTAACGTCCATTTTGGAACTGCAGAGAATAAAAACAAATACTAAAAAACAAAAGGGGGTCTTGAACGCATTATCACCTTTTTGGATAGTTGATTTGACGGGTAAGAATATTTTGGAATTGGTAATGAGGCAGAAAGAATGGGCAAGGGGGATTTTTGTATATAATTTTTTTTTAGTTTCGATTGATTTTTTTGATTAACTATAGTTAATATTAAAAAAACTGGTTATGCTAGAATTGAGTGGGAATTTAAATTTATATAAAAATTAAAATAATTAAAATTAATTTGAGGTAAAAGTAGAAAAAAATGATTTGAAATTATAGATAGTTAAGATTTAATAATGCGAGTGGATGAATTGTAAATTAAAGTTGATTTGATTTGAGAATAATTGAATGGTATTGTTTAATTAGATTGATAATCTATTATTATATAAAGAGATAACCCACTAAATTCTAAAATAGTAACTAAAAAATTATTCAGTCCCGCCTAAAAATTTACTAAACATAGTAACTTTTTTTTTTTGAAAATTTTTAGAAATCCTGCTCAAACATAATTTAAAATTTTCGGTCAAAAATTTAAATTCAGACATTTAAGGAAAGGATTGACTGCAGATTTTGTCGGCCATATTTCATCTTTAACATAAGTTCCAAATAATCTTTTCATTAATGTACATTGAATATTTATCATTTTTTATATATAGAGTTGGGTTTAAGTGAGAAAGAGTTTTAGTGAAAGAAATAAGAATAAATCTCAACCATTAAAAAAAAGTCAAAATTATACCTTCATTAAGGGCATTGTTATATTTTTTTCACATCACATTCAAATAGGTGGGTCCCACTTAGGGCTGGAAATGAGTCGAGCAGCTCACGAGTCGCTCACGAGCGCTCGAGTCAAAGCTCGACTCGAGCTCGAGTTTGACTGAACTCGGGTCGAGCTCGAGCCCATATTTTGCCTTGTCGAGCGGCTTGATATATATTAAATTACTAAAATACCCCATATATATATTTAAATAGTATAACACAAGTGCTTAATG